GTAATGAGTACAGTTTCTCGAGATAGCGTTTCAACAACAGTAATTTAGTTCATAGTATTGTTTTTTCTTCTTCATAATGCCGTAATTTATTATTATAACTTAAAAAAAAAATTACAATTCCTTCACTAATTAATCGAAAGGAACTTCGTTCCATCCGGGTGTCCCTTGACACCTCTGAAGTTTTTTTTTTATTGTGAGATCAGTGTTTATATAGACTACTATTTATTTATTCCTACCTATTCTAGTAACCTCGAGGGGTTATTCTAGATTCACCGAATTAGTAGGTGAGCTCGTGGGACTCAAACCAAACGACGTTGCTAACACTTACCCTAGCAAGAGCAGTGCTTCGCAGAATCCACCACCGGATCGGAAACGCGACCCACTGAGAGGATCCGGAGAGAAACTCAGTGGGCTGTGTCTGTGGGTTAATTTTCGCGACCAGACCTTCGTCCCAAGCGACGGGGGTTCGACGAGAAATAGACTACGCTAACACCATTGAGAACAGGGTGTGACGTAAGGGCTATCAATGAAAATCTGGTGGTATCTTTTGTGAGTCCGCGCGGGTAGGTACCACCATCCTGCCTATTTCTGCCGTGAAGCAGTAATGCGTTTCAGCTTGAAGGGTGGGGCAGCCGTTGTAACTATACTTGAGACCTTAGAACTTGTATCTCAAGGTGGGTGGCGCATTTACGTTGTGGATGTCTATGGGCTCCAGTAACCACTTAACGCCAGGTGGGCTGTGAGCTCGTCCACACATCTGAGCAATAAAAAAAAAAATCTACCACCGGATCGGAAACGCGACCCACTGAGAGGATCCGGAAACTCACTGGACTGTGTCTGTGGGTTAATTTTCTCGACGAGACCTTCGTCCCAAGCGACGGGGGTTCGACGAGAAATAGACTACACTAACACCATTGTGAACAGGGTGTGTCGTAAGGGCTATCAATGAAAATCAGTTTCTCGGACTCCCTGACAATGCTTACATTAAATTTATCAAGAACAAAAGATACCAACATAAGAATTACATCACAGAGTATCAAATAACAAACCGGGACCGAATTTTCATTCAAATGTCTGAATCATCGCGGTTCTAATTTAACTGGACTCGTCGTAGTTCCGAGCCGGTGGACGTCATCGACTGTGACAAATACGAGCGGCCTCGGCTTTGACATGTCAAAACATTTATTAGATACTTATTATAATACGTGTGGCAAATATTATGTACTCGTAAAAATGATTGTTTCAGCAAAAAAAAATTTTATTACACGATTTTCAACCTTTCGTAAAAAAAAATCATAGGTTTTTGTGATCGACGTCTTTTTCTTATTATAAGTGAGTAGACATGTTCACAACTCACCTGGTATTAAGCGGTTGGCGGTGGCCATCGACATCACACCACGAATGTCTCACCACCACCCACGTTGAGATATGGGCTAATAGTCTATATTGCATAGCATCGTACTCGTCAAACTAAAACGCAGGACTGTTTCAAGGAAGAAATAGACAGGATGGAATTTTTTTTATTGCTTAGATGGGTGGACGAGCTCACAGCCCACCTGGTGTTAAGTGGTTACAGGAGCCCATAGACATCTACGACGTAAATGCGCCACCCACCTTGAGATATAAGTTCTAAGGTCTCAAGTATAGTTACAACGGCTGCCCCACCCTTCAAACCGAAACGCATTACTGCTTTACGGCAGGAATAGGCAGGGTGATGGTACCTACCTGCGCGGACTCACAAAAGGTCCTACCAAAAAACCAGGTACCAACTGGTGTGGGTCTGCAATACCAATAATAAATGACAGTTTGTGCAGTTGTCGGACAAAGTACACAGAGAATGCTGCCGCCCGGTTACCCACGGGAAGAGATGGGGTGGTGGTATTCCAGGCTGTACACCACATAGCGTACATGGAATCTACCGTTGCCTTTAATTGCTGTTGTTATAATGTTATCTTGGTGACTGTATATACCTACATGTACAATGTTTATACATATTGGGTATTCTTTTTTTAACGCCAAGCTGTACAACTTCGTGACTTCGGGCATCTAAAGCCTTTAGTTGTTCTGAAAATCGTGTTTTGACGATCGTTCCTACAATAGAGAAAATTATTCTTAATGTTTTCCTCCATTAGGTCACGAACACTTAAAAACATCGTTAACGCGGCTCAAGAGTTTTCCGACTTGTAGATGATAGATTCAAAATCATTTAACTCGGACGTCATGTGATCGAGTTCTTGCGTCTCCAATTAAATTAAACTAAGCCTTCCAAAAAGAGCTCCTCAAAAGAACCGGCGTGACGTTTTTAATAAGTATCTTGAGGAAAAAAAATGGCCATATTATAAATATCTAGATAGAACTTATATCTCGAGGTGGGTGGCGCATTTACGTTGTAGATGTCTATGGGCTCCAGTAACCACTTAACATCAGGTGGGCTGTGAGCTCGTCCATCCATCTAAGCAATAAAAAAAATATAGTAATAATATAATTTGTGCTTTGATTTTTTTTATTTCGATTATTGTAAATACCTATTTAGATATTATTGTAAATACCTATTTACAATAATAATTCAGGAGTGAGCGCAGTATACGGCCCAATTGATTGTAAGGAGTCACCGTCGCTTATGGGCATCAGCACTGCCAGAGGAACAGCCAAGCGGCTGCTTACTACTGAGGAATCTCTTCAAACCTCGATTGAAGAAGAACATGTTTTGTTTCTCGACAAACCCATAGGAGTTGATTCCATGATGCTGCATGGCACAAAAAGCTCTTAGTATGCATTAAGGATGAACGCAGCGGTTCCAGATAGTATTGATGAACCCTACTCTGGTAGCGAGAAAAATAGTGGAAAAGATCGCTTCTAGGGATAAGACGGCCCATTGTACAGAAATATACCTGACGATTGATTGCTTTGTTACATAAATTACGTTTTTTCTACTCTCGCACACAACCTTGCTACAGAAACATTCTTTGATTGATGTCTTGCCTGATCTAATGCAGCTACAGTCTCATATTAAAAGATGTGTGGTGTTGTGGAACACCGGATAGGAGCGAAGTTCCTTATTATAAAAATATTAATTTTAAGTTCTATTCGAGGTATAAAGAAAATAAAACTGGAGGTTTCGCAACAACCCACCGTCATTCGGTAACGTGCGAACTTATTGTGGTACACTTCATTCACGGTTGTTTGCATAAGAGTTAGTGTATTGCGCAAACGAACGCTCTGAGATCGTGGTCAATGAATCATAAAAAAATATGTTATTTTTTGTACGTTATTACAAAGTTAAGTCATACACTGTGTGCACTACTAATTTGTACGTTATTACAAAGTTGTCGTACACTGTGTGCATTACTAATAAAAATCTTACGTTATGGACGTTTTTTTCCCGGTTAGGGTACGCCTCCGCAGCGTCCCATAAGGTACTTCGTTCCAAAAAGCTTTGTTCAGATTTTGATACAATCCTGTCTGCCCCTGTAGGTTAGGTAGGTTAAACAGTGCAGTAGTAGCCAGCGCGGCTTCTCACATTTAAAAGTTCATTGACGTAACAGTAACGCAAACCGGCAATCGACGTTCTCGCATTGTGACATTGTTTTTGGTCAACCTTTTCCTGTCGCATGTCGGTTCGTTTAACGCGCCGCGGCGCTGCTGTTCGACTTACGACGTGATGGCTGTCACGTAACTGATCGTTTGTTTTCAATTTTAAGTTGTGGAGAGTACATCACAAGGATTGAAAACAACAATCGTATACATTAAATGTCTTACCTTTTGCAGATGGCGATCGTTGAGCGTGAAAAATTCGAATATGTTTAGACCAAAGTTTCCGCGAGTCATAACTCAGTCGGATTAATCTTACGATTGTATATTATTCATTTCAATTTTCGACCTTTCGAATAGTTTAATGTTTTCGTGATCAGGGACGGTGCATTCAACCTTTCTATAAATAATAATTCATTCTCAAGTGCCCCACCTAAATTAGGAAAATAAAAATAAAAACAGGTTTTGGTACGTACGTAAGGAACTAAGAGTATCTTGAAGACTGGCATTTACTTCGATTTCAGACTTGGGAACAAAATTAAGATACTTTCTTTTTAGTATTCGTAATGTCCGAATTAGAAATGTAAGTGGTTTCTACCACTTTTAAAATGTGAAATTAAAAAAATATTGCTGTCACTTCAAGTATTTACATAATGTAAGAAGATCGATCGGTATTGACTTCATCTTATTTAATGTGACCAGAAAAACAAATTTTATATAAATTTTATTAAATTTTATATAAAGTTGAATTAATGCGGCATCTGTGTTGTAAGTGTGCAACCCGTGGGTCGTGGTGCCACTGCTCTGTCTGCTGCCTAAAAGTCTCTGCTTGATTATTGGGTCTGATCTTTAACATCTATTAGTTTGTACTGGTGATCTCTCGCCCCATCTGAAATTGAGAGGCAGGCTCTTCGCACTGTATACCTTGCCCACTGGCCTGTCCATTTTGTATAGTTTAACCGATAAAAATCACTTTAACTGCGTGTTTTTTTTTTTTTGAGTGCCAACAACAATAGTTTTGGTAGCCGAGGGAGATCACTGTATAAATAGAATCTCTCTCCAGAAACCGACTTCTTTAGAGCTCCTCGATCTCTTTCAGGGCTTTGGACTTAATCGATACCACTCACTTCCATAGCTTCTCTTTTCAAATTCACCAACCGGCTATGACGAGAATTGTTTTTTTTATTGGATTTGAAGCAATTTAAAACACCGAACGTTGTTATATATTGTACATGAAATGATTGCGTTATACGACTGAAGTGTTCTCAGAAGCACATGGCGTGAAAGTTATGATTCGTTACGAAATATACAGGCAACGCGAATGTTACTTTTCGTCGCCCGATCAACATCAACAACGCGAGTACAGCGTGCTGGTTGCCGTCATCGCGTATTATTTCGTTCGTCCGAAAGTTTTCTCAGTATTCCGTAGGAGTCAGTTCTCGGAAAACTGCACTTGGAGTCTGGCGTGTTTTTTGTGTGGACGCTTCTGCCAAGTTTGAGAGTGGAAACCTAGAGCGTGTCGTCGGCGCGGCGTACTGACTGTGCGTAGTGCGTCACGGTCGCGGCGCGGCGCCCGCGCTCTCAGTGTGTGACCGCGCGCCGAGCTCACCTGTCGCTCTGCCGAGTGTGTCGCGAGTTTGATCGCAGTGTCACCGTTCACATAAGATGTTTGCGCTAGTCGCACCGGATCCTGTTCGTGTCTCAGTTCTATAGTGTACCAAAAGTGGATTCCGGCGGAATTTACCAGGCCGTGGAGCACGCCCGAAGGCTCGAGCGCTCCCAGGCCATGTATGTCTTAAATTTAGGTGAGTCCGCTTCGAAATTCCGTCTTCGATGATCGACAGTTCATGTGATGTCTAGGGAGGGCGACGACGACATGCAAACCTATAATTGGAACTAGACGGAACCGGTAGTCGCTCTCGGGTATGGAGGTCTCTGCGCAGCCTCCGCGGTCGGCCTTAGGCCTAGTTTTTTAATGCGCTTGCGACTTTCTCTTTGACAACATTATAACATTACCGAGTGTTGTTGGTGGTCCTTGGCGCGCATCACAATCGTCCCACTTGTACTATTCCATTTCAATTTGTTCGTTATTCGCGGCTCACTGTGTGTGTCTATGTATGTTTTTATTACAGTTCACGTATAACGTGTGGGCGTGTGTTGGTGTGNCCTTAGGCCTAGTTTTTTAATGCGCTTGCGACTTTCTCTTTGACAACATTATAACATTACCGAGTGTTGTTGGTGGTCCTTGGCGCGCATCACAATCGTCCCACTTGTACTATTCCATTTCAATTTGTTCGTTATTCGCGGCTCACTGTGTGTGTCTATGTATGTTTTTATTACAGTTCACGTATAACGTGTGGGCGTGTGTTGGTGTGTTCGCGCTATCGGCGTTGCTATTTTGGTCCATCTCGTGTGTGTGCGTGCGCGCTCGTGTCCCTACGTATCGCGACGGTCGCGCGTGTGCGTCTCGTATCCGCGTTCAGTTCTTATCATTCTCTTCGGTTGACATTATTGTCTTCAATATTATGGTATTGGCACCTCTATATTATTATATATTGCTGTATTTTAAATTAGTTAATTATTAATGTTATGTAGGTAAATACGAAATATATATTTTCCTGCCTACGAAAAACTTGTATCAATACAAAAACCGGATCTATTTTTAGACATGTGACCGCAACCATTTAAACAAATCTATAATGATAATATTAAAGACATTAAAATGATTGAATGTTGTTTTATAGACTTTGTTGTTTCATGCAAACTTACCCTAAGAATAATAATAGCTTTTGAGTTCTAACCCTCGAACTTTTCCACTTTCGAAATTCATTATTTTTTATTTCATTGGATGGGAATCATTATATGAGTCAAATTCAATATTATTAAAATCTGAGTATCTGAGTAATCTTCAATATCATTGATGTCGGAGAGATTTTAAACTAGAATTTGTAATTTTTAAAGTCTAACATTAAGGTGTCCTCAAGGGGTCCCAATTTAGGAAATAGGAATTAGGTATACGAACTATGAACGGAATTAGGTTTATGAAACTTAAACTTGACAAAAACTTGCAAAGATCATCTAACATTTTTTTCTTGTTGAATATTTATAAAGTCTACAATTTATTTGGTTTGTTTGTTTTAATTTGATTTGATGATTTTGACTACGATTCATGGTCTATCGGAAGTATTGTTGTAATCCATATATTTTCAAACTGTACCTTACGTGAACGACGCTACCATCTCCTTATACACACATAGGTATATACTTATTTTACGGTTCGCTCTCACGTTTGTTATTGTCATTATATTATGAGGTCTCAAAAAGTCTTTACAGTTTTCGTGCTTACGAAGTACTGAGGTGTTTTTTTTCCTCAACATTTGAATGTCGTGGCCAATTACCGCGTAATTCTCTATAAAAAATGATTTTTTGACATTTACGTTTTTGTTCTCTTCTTTCTATTCGAAACCTCAAAACAAATGTTCACGATTGACTTCCGCGGTGAAGGAATAACATCGTGTAATAAAAAATGAAACCCGCAAATTATAATTTGCGTAATCACTGGTGGTAGGACCTCTTGTAAGTCCGCGCGGGTGGGTACCACCGCCCTGCCTATTTCTGCCGTGAAGCAGTAATGCGTTTCAGTTTGAAGGGTGGGGCAGCCGTTGTAACTATACTGAGACCTTAGAACTTATATCTCAAAGTGGGTGGCGCATTTACGTCGTAGATGTCTATGGGCTCCAGTAACCACTTTACACCAGGTGGGCTGTGAGCTCGTCCACCCATCTAAGCAATAAAAAAAAACAATTAAATGAAATTATAAATACTAAATAAAATTATTATACTAGTCGTCCCGCAGTAGTCGAAATTCGACTATAATTAATTAAAATTATAAGTTTGAAACGTTATTATGGTTCTATTGTCAAAGACTATTCATTATACTTCTATAATCACAGATTTCGCCAAGACTACACTACAGACAAATAAACAATGTTAACCTATTCTCAATTTGATCACAGACTAACAGAGCAACAAAAGTTTGACAATAAACATAATATGTATTCATAATAATATGTGTGTGTCAAATGGTAGTGTGTGTAAGGTTTTTTTTTATTGATTAAATGTATTATTAACGCATTGTTTAAAAAAGAAATTTGGCACTGCTTCGCTATGTTCTCTATAAGTGTGGGAAATTTCACACTTCTTAGTCCGCGCAATTTGCGTAAAAAGGGGTACAAAGTTTTTGCTTCACGTATTAATATATAAATATTATGCTATATAGTAAGTGCAGAATTGAACGGTAAATATACTTTTAATTATGTCTATGACTCGACGAAAGCTAAAAGAAAATACTATAGTGTTGTTATTTTTTAAACCATGTCTAATCTCTTTGTTGCTGTTGTTGCGTGAACATTGATCAGAAATATCAGTTATTATATTATAATTAATTACAGCATGACAACTGACAGCTGAATGATATATGTTTTATGGTACTAAAAAATGTATTTTCTAAATTAATATTTAAACTTATCCGCAACCAATTGTATTTGAGAGTCACATATTCTATGTACTTTTATCAGGAACGCGTCGCAGTTCAAAGAATATGTTTTTGTATGACGAATTTCCATTGAAAAAGGATACTCGTGGGCGCTCGATCACGCCAACAATGTGTTTTGTTATATCAAACAACCTTTTACTACGTTACTAGGCTTTAACACGCCGCTTCCTTCGCTTTAATACAGAAAGAAATCAACCCTCGGGAATAATACTTTTTTCTGGATAAAAGGCACCCTGTTTTCCTTTACCGTGCCCACGACGACGTGTATGAAAAAATTCTTATGATCGGCTGTGGGTATCTAAGGCGTGAAAGCGTAACAAACAAAAAACTCACTTTCGCATTTATAATAACGGTATGGGGAGCAATTTCTATTTTTTATTTATTACTCTGTATGGGAAGAGTAGCACGCACCACATCTAGCTGTAAGTATTATAGCTACCGTACCTCATAGACACGGCACTAATCCCACAACTCATGTTGAGGTTGTCATCTTAATTGAAGGTTATTACCGGTCACAGTCTTCGCTGAACCCGTCGCTTGCGACTTAGAGCTCAGCGAGTAAATTAACCCATAGACACAGCCCACTGAGATTCTTGCCGGATCTTTTCAGTGGGTCGCGTTTCCGATCCGGCGGTAGATTCTGCGGAGCACTGCTCTTGCTAGGGTCAATATTAGCAACACCTACGGTTTGAGCCCCGTGAGCTCAGCTACACGCTAGGGCAACGCGGTAATAGCATCTCAAGGCTATCAGCATAGGTAGGAAAATTTTAAATAAAAAAGGTTATAAGGGGCCGTCCGGAACGTATTCCGATTGACCGCAGATTTAACACTTATTTCTTGTTTGCTATATGTGCCTGAAAGGGATAGATATGTGAGCAATATACACATATAGAGCCCGTGCATATTTACGTATGTTTACGTGTATTGACGGTTGGCAGTCCATAACCTGTTCATTTAGTTTTTGAATGAGACAAGGGAAAGCTGAATTTTCGTGTCAGCCAGCTCGGAGCCGATGCGCGACTCTCAGAATCCAGTCTCGGGTGACTCATAAACGAAGAGTCACCGGTGACACGGTGCCCGTTAGGAACCAGTTGGGGAGCTCTGGGACGGCGCTCCGGACCAGCTAGGGGGGGCATCGACCTCGCTAGCGGTGCGGCCTAAACATGAAGCCTGTAAAATTTAAACAGTTTTTGATCTCGCCCCATGTTATTAATTACACGTTTACTGATTTCGATTTCTTAAAACATGACCGAGCCATTTACTGCTCTACTACTACATTTACAGCCTGACATTTACTGGTGGTAGGGCCTCTTGAGAGTCCGTGCGGGTAGGTACCACCACCCTGCCTATTTCTGCCGTGAAGCAGTAATGCGTTTCGGTTTGAATGGTGGGGCAGCCGTTGTAACTATACTTGAGACCTTAGAACTTATATCTCAAGATGGGTGGCGCATTTACGTTGTAGATGTCTATGGGCTCCAGTAACCACTTAACACCAGGTGGGCTGTGAGCTCGTCCACCCACCTAAGCAATAAAAAGTAAATAAATAAAAGCCTTAGTCGGAACTGGGAGCGCACGTGTCTGTGTTTGTTGTTGTTTCCGTTTCATGATTTCCGGGTTTGGACACCGGATATTGTTACGACAGACTCGTACATACACTATGCTCCACAAGGCACTTAGTTGTGTACTGTTGTGTTTTATGATTCGTAATTCCCGATACGGAAATCAGTCAGTTGTAGCTCTAGACTTGTCTAAGCAAGTCGTTAAAGTGTTTTCAATAATGTCGAGTTTTGTTGTTTATTTAAATACAATCGCCTGCGCCACCGCGTGTATTTCTAAATACTGCAAAATATTTTCCTCAAATGATACCAAATGAGAAATAACAAAAAAAACCTCACGCTATATTCTTGTTTCTTTACATTTACCATTTGTGATTGCTACTTTTAGTCTGCATTTGAGATTTCGAATATAACTGGAATTGATTTAATAGATACCTTAGGTGAAGTTTTTTTTCTTTAATTACGTTGCAAAACAATTCCAGTTTTTCGTTTGAAAGGATAAGAGATCTTTTAATCTAAATGTGTGTGTGTAATTTTAATTAAGTGTTTTTTTTCATTACATAATTCAAATTCAAATTCAAAATCATTTATTTCAACTTAGATGTCAGTATGACACACTTGTTGAATGTCAAAATACAAATAACAATGTTAACTCTACCACCGGTTCCAAAAAAAGCCACAGTCCTGAGAAGAA